AGAATTCTTTTGTACGTGGCAGCGTTTGCAAAACATGACAGTGCTTTGTGTAGATCCTTTGGTCATTTGGTTTGAAATCTGGATAGAAGTAGCGGTTCTGAAGTGCTAATTTGTTATGTGGAGTTGGTTAATTTGGTGTTATGGTGAATGTATTTTATTCTCTGTGGAATGTAGCACCTCTGGAATATCAATATTAGAATTAACATGAAGTCAATTGTATTTTGAAAGAATTAAGTCCACTCAGGCTTAGCCAAGTTCTCAAAATCACTCTTGCTTTATGTCATCTCCATGGTTTTAAGAATGTTCCTTTATTTCAGTTCAGTATTTATGTGTGTTTTGTTTTTGGTTTTCCCGAGTGTTTTTCTCTTTCCCATTTTTAGATCGGGAGGAGTGCGTTTGTGACCTCCTCTTCATCTCTACCTTCCTTCCCCTCCACGCTTTCCTGGTCAAGGGATGAGAGCACACGAAGGGTTAAGTACCTTCCCAATCCATCTTTTACCTGGAGGAGGTGGCCATCTCCCTAGAAGCCCTTTCGCCTCTGTCTTCTCCCCTTTCCTGCTGGCCAGCCTTGGTGCTTGCATGAAGCAGTGCTTCATCACTTCCCGTTTCTCTGCCACGTGCCGCGGGTTCTCGCCTCTCTCTAACTCCACGGCAGCTAAAACCTCAGCGTTTAACACCGCACGGTTACTCCGCATCCTTGTTCAGCTGCGTGACACCGAGACCAGCCGGAAGACACGTTGGTTGCTGTTTGCAGAGCAGTTTGCCAGCGCTCACTGGTGTTCCGTAAGCCCATCTGCTGACTAAAATGCACTGCATGAGGCACACGGAGCTCGCTGGATCCCAGCTGTAAAGCCTGCTGTCTCTGGGGGCTGGCAGTGTGCACCCATCCAGATGTTTGTCTTACAGGTGCTCAGTAGTTTGTTTGAAGTGAGTTCTTTAGGTGTCCCACCAGGGAGCCGTTGGTATTGCCCACCGGCACATCCAGGATCCGCCAGCCGGCTTTCTGCTCCCCTTGGCAGATGAAGGAGTGGGCACGGGAAGTGGTTTTGACAAGGCTCCTTTCAGGGCGAGATGGAAGACACTGAGAATGTGTAAAGGAAGCTTATGTTGGTGTTCCATCAAGATCTACAAAAAATTGTTCGTAGGGGTTTTGTTAGCTGCTGTAGGAAAAAGCTTGCGGTGTTACCAAGAAACATTGAATGCATTCCTGTAAGTTTGTTATTCCAAAGATGCTGTCTTTGCTCTGGCCTCATGTGTGAGCCATTGGCTATTTCAAGAAGCCTTGTCCAGCTTCTTAAACTTTTTTTAAACAGTTTTTTTTTGTAGTGGGACGCTTGAATCCAGTCTCATTCAAATTCATTTGCTAGAAGTGACCGTAAAATGCCACCTTGCCAAGGACCTGTTCAGTAAGGCAGACAGACCCATCTGCCTGTGACAGCTGCTCTTCAGACTGTGTTTGATTTGAGATCCTTGAACTAAGTCCAAGTTACTTATTTAGATGAAGGGAGAAGCACTTTGTGTTTGCAGTCCCAGAATTACGTCTGTTTCTGGCTGGGAAGGGGCTGTGACTGAGGTCAGGGACCTGAGCAGGTACCTCTTGGCATGTCACACCCCGACGAGCGCCGCAGGAGAACAGCCCGTGGCCTCTCCACCAGTCTTTGCCCAGCCTGAGCACCAGCTTGCAGGAAGCACCCTCCGTCACCAGAATGAGCTGGTAGCATTTCGAGGGCTTGCTCTGACTAAACCTCTTTAACCTTGAAGCAAATATCACTTCAGGGTCCTTTGGGCTGGTTTTAAATGTTTGTCTCATTTCTTAGAAAATAACGAGTAGTTTGCACCCGTTTTGTTGTATCACATGTTCAGGATTTAGACTTTGCTTACTTCTGTGTTAAAACAAGATTTTCCAAGGGTGAACTTGAGAGGAGTATTCGTATTTCTTTGTAAGACTTAATTGATTTTGAAAAGATCTATCAAGAAAAGTTCTTTTTGCTCTGCTTTTTCTATGTGGTTAATATAATGAAATCAGTGCCATCTCATTCCGTTTCTTGGGCAAGCATTGCAGAGGCTCTAATCAAATTTTACTGTACAATACTCAATTTTAAAAAAGAAAAAAAACACAACACAAACAAAAACCACAAAACCCCCCCAAAAAAACAAGTTTGTGGGTTTAGATGTTGAATGGTCATACTCTGGCCTCATCTTGCCAGGATAAAGAACCTACATTTTAAATTCTTGTGTCTTCATTTTATTTAGACTGTAGGGTGTTTGGACTATCAGTTGAGGAAGATACTACACTGGCAGGTAGGACTAGACGAGATAACTTAGAAGGGAATATCCTGCTTGGTCAAATGCAAATCCAGGTTTGGCTGCAGCTGATCAAAAATCTGAGCATCATCCTCACCCACAGGCTGGATGCTTTACTGGAAGCCACAGAACTGGTCTGTATGGGATTAGGAGGTGGAGAGCGTTCTGCTGTTGCACGTGGGAGAAGGTGCATGTGCTCAGGGACAGGGAAAGGGCAGCACTGCGGTTCCTGGTGTGGCCGCGGTCACTGCGAACCTCCACAGGGAATGCCATGTGAAAGGGAGAGAGCAGGAAAACACTGGGCTTCTGACTGCTCGTGGCCTCCGCCCTCTGGAGCAGCACTGTGCAGCCAGACCTTCCCGTGCTTCGTCCGGACCGCGCAGCCGGCCTCCCGCGCTCCGTCTGGCTCTCGTGCTTGGTTCAGCCTCCAGCTCTGTCTTCAGCATTCCCCCTGCCATGGGCCTCCCACCCCGGGTTTCACCTCGCCTTCCTCGTGTGCCTCTTGCCCTCGTTACGGCCTCCTCTTTGGAACTGGTCTACCACCCTCCTTTTGACACCCGTTCTCCAGTGGCTCTCTTCTCTTGATGGCTGGACCTTCTGCAATCGTTTCATCCTACGCTCTGCTGTGGGCCACAGCTCTTACTTATTTGGCCCCTCAGCCTTCTTTTGGTCACCAGTCTGCAGTGGGGCTCAACTCTCCTTGTTCTGGCCTCCAGTCTGCAGTGGGCCTTAACTGTCCTTGTTTCAGCCTCCTACTCTTGTTTTGGTCTCCAGTCTGCAATGGGCTCCAGCTCTCGGAGCGCTTGGTGGACAGGGGCCGTTGTGCCAAAGAGCGCGCCCGCGGGCACAGGACGTGGCGCTGGCGCAGCTCGGGGCTCTTCTTTCCTGCACAGCACTGAAATCAGTCTGTATTCCTTGCAGACCTCGAAGCTGGAGAAGCAGAGCAGCGTGTCTGAGAGCGACTACGATAACCCCACCACCCCGCTGGAGCTGGAGGAGACGGGGTAGGCGCGGTGGCACGGAGCTGTCGGAGGACGGGGAGTCGCGTGCGCAGCCGGGTCTGTCCCGCCGAGCCAACCTCTGCTGTGTTCCTTTGCAGGTCAGGCAGGAAGGGCCGGCAGAGGAGCGTCATCTGGCAAGGGGAGGGATCCATCCCTGAAGACACCGACACAGCTCCCAGCTCCAGTTTGCCCAGTACAGAAGATGTTATTCGGAAAACTGAGCAGATCACTAAGAATATTCAGGAGCTGCTGCGAGCAGCGCAAGAGAACAAGCATGACAGGTAAGGTGTGAGTGCCAGAAATGCTCTGAATCTGTGTGAAAACAAAGAAAATTCTTCAGGTGTTTTTGGAAGTACAGCCACCACCACTGGTGTTAACGCTGGAGATGCTGATTTCACACCTACAGAACGTGTAGGTCTGCGGTGTCTCCTGGTGTACCGGACCTCGTGCCACCAGGTGAACGGACACGAGTGGCCAGCACAGGTGGTGGGAACACAGGCTCCTGTCCAAAAAGGCAGCGCAGCCCCCCATGAGCGAGTTGTGGCTGCAGCAGTGCCCGCTGCCTGCCCTGCCCGCAGCTGGCACAGGCACGGGGAGCGCCCGGCAGCAAAGCGCTGGAGAAGTCCCGCTGGAAAATGAATGTTGTTTTAGATGTAAATCAAACGTGTCCAGAGAACGTGGCGTTAAGTTTCTCTTGGACCTTCAGACCTCCGTATGCCTAGGTAAGGACACCCTGCGGAAGCGTGACAGTAACACCAAGTCTGGTTTCAGGAAAACATTGCAAAGACAGGAAAAATTTGGCTTTCCTACTGAAACATTAGTACAGATAATGTACCAGCAAAAGCTGTTCTGAATTACTGGGTTTAGACCTGGGTAAGCAGGAGGCCGTTGATGAGCACGCCAGGTAGCACGCAGCTTCCGCTCCCTCGGGGAACTGCTGGCCCAACCAAACCATTAATTTTCAGAATCACTGTGAACCAGTAAAAGTGATACTGCCCTTGACTGGTCATCAGGTGGTGCTCCTGCACAGCCCCTTCAGAAGCCTGTAACTAGGAGTTACATCTTGCCAGGTGTGAGCACGGTTCAGGTCTGAAACAGTTTTGGTCTCCAGAAAATGTGGACTTGCCAACAGACCGACAGCCCTTCCATCTGAGTCCCGCGTCCCGTGCCCGTCTTTGCCTGCGAGAAGCTGCTGGGAATTTATATTAAGCCCTCGCTTCCTGCTGTGCTGGGAGAAGTGCAGAACAATGGAGCCGCTTTTGTTCTGTTTTTTCCTTCTTGTGCTTTTCTATTTTTAGAAGGGACAGCCACGGCCTCTCCTTCTCGTGCCGAGTGGCGAGTTGTAACGTGTTTGTGCCGAGCTCATTGCCCTTGTCCATAACCTTTTCCACTGCAATCCCTCCTTGCTTGTTTCTCACAGATCATAATAAGATGCAACAGTTAAGAGAAGCTTTAAATGAGTTTTTTTTTTCTATGCACCACAGTTTACAGTGAGTTAAGAGAAGCTTTAAATGAGTTTTTTTTTCTATGCACCACAGTTTACAGTATTTGAATAATATTTTTTAAAACATCATCGAAAGAAAGAATGCAGCACACCTAGCTTTCTCTGTTAAATTGAATAGATTTTGAAACAACCTGTTGTGTTCTTTTTTGTTTTCTCTTCTGTGCCACGCGTGGAGCGGGGTGTTTGACGGTACTTAAATGAGTATAATCTTGCAAAACATCGAACTGCAAAGCTGTTCTGTGTTTTCCTGTCCTCTGGCTTTGTCTCAGTGGGCTGGGACAGCAGGAGATGGAGTAGGCTTGTTCCACCATTCTCTTTGTGTAGTAGCAGAACGCTGCCTTAACGAAATGAGATAATCAGGGGTGTAATAATACAGCTTCCAGCTAGTGCTGGGAACGTTGTAGATAAATCACGTGCTGAATAGGTAATCGGAGAGTAATAAAATAATGCAAGAATATCTGTTAATGAAACACCTTCTTTTTTTTCTTGCTTTCTTCTGTTCCTTTTCCTGTGCTCATCTGGCCGAGCAGACCATTAGAGCGTGCGGGCATGCTCAAGCTCAGACACAGCCTGGGCTGCTTCAGCACACTGGTTCCCTGGGCCGAGCGAGCTCCCCTGGAGCCTCTGGCTGTCCCGCAGCCCGGCCCTGCCTCCTGGTGCTCTGGCCTCTGTCCCTGCCACCCAGGCACAGCGTCCTTTCTCTTCCTCTCTGCTGCCTCTGTCCCTCAGGCACCACCTGCACAGGGGTCGTTGAAGGCTATGCAGGAAATGCTTCGGGAGAAACTGCAGCTAGCTGGTACAGAGAGTTACAAACCTGGGATATTACCTGTTGGGTTAAAGCTTCTCGTGCTGGTTTAATGGGGAACAGAATCACAGCCTGGAACTGGAACTGTCTCTAGTGTAAAAGATGCTCCTGTCTCTGTTCTGCTTGTTGTCGATTGAGATGAATTAAGTTATGACAACTAACAGCACAGCGTGTGGTTGGTGCTTCTGTGCACTGGTGCAAAAGTAGCAGAAGTTTCACAGTTCCCAACATGAGAGGTTCACACCTGACAGCTTAGACCTTCGGCTGTTTATACAGCTGGCGTGTCGAATGAGATCGTTTGTCCTTGAATCAGTGGAAAAAGATGTGTGTTTGTACAGCGTCTTCCAACTGGACCAAAATATTTATTAGTGCCTAAAATAAAGATGAAATTTAAGTGGGATGTTCTTTTAGAGAACTTCCCAAGTTCTAACTGCAGGTGTTCCTGCCTGTGACAAATAGGAGGATTGCAGGAAGATGTTGTCACAAGTTACTGCTCATGATGGATCCTTCTTTCCAAGCTGGCACTACTTGAGTATCTTCTTGATGTCTTACTGGAACGTGCGTAAACTCCACAAATGTGTCAGCTTATTTCATGAGCTTACAGTCAGTGTTCGGACTAAAAATAAAGCTGTTCCTCCAGGACACACGGAAAACTTTGCAGCTAACCTGGAGAACATACCATGAAATACGTGTCGTTACTCTTGGTCTCTTTCCTTCGTGTTATCCTAGGGCTTTCTCTGCCTCGTTAGTGAAGGGTTTAATCAGCAGACTGGCTTTTTAATGAGGTAAGGTGCTGTTCAGTGTGGCTTGCAGGGAGCAAATTAATTGTTAACTCAAGAGCAGAGTGGGAATTACAGTGAACTTGGAAGATTTCTCTCCGCTTCTGGTTTATTTGGAAGAGCTCATGTGATTCGAGACATACAGAAATATTCCTTTTTAAAGCAGTTTTCCTGCATTGCCAAAATGACCCCGGTGTGTTGCTTCTTTCTCAGTGTGTTTGCAAGTGACCTATTTTTGCACCCTTGGTGTTGCAAGATGACTGCATCCATAGTGACTGGGGGTTGGGGGTTTGGGGTTTTTTTTGCTTGGAAGGGCAATGATGTACCATAATCTACAGATGCTGAATACTTTCTCGAATGCTGTTGCTTTGTGATTTTTTGAGATTCTCTTGCTTAAGATTGAATCATACTAACTAACTTATGCTAAAATTGAGGTTTTGAAGCGTAAAAATTAGTCTTTTGAAGTTAGACTCGTGACAGACCACACTAACACAGCACTCACAGCAGCGTGTGGTAAATTGTTTTAAGATCTGTTTTGAACAGGCCAATTTTCATTTGGTATGTAAATCAGAAGTGAAATCTGGGAGGGCTTATGGCATCTGCCTTGGTTTTATTAACTAACTTGGCAGAATTGCTGAATATTTAGCCTAAAACTCACACTCTGTGAAAGCAGTTGGTAGTTTGGAGATGTATGTGTCTGTAAGCTGCTGGATGAGAGCTGTGTGTCGTCTGTTCACTGTGTATAAATTAATCCAGGAAGGCACCTTGGTGGTGGTGTCACCTTCATGTGACATTTTACCTTTAGTTAAAGTTTACCAGAAAAGTGAGGTGTGAGTTCTGTACTGGAAGTTTGGTACACCCCGTTCTCAGTACGTGTCTGCCTTCCAGTTTGAAATGAGAAAGGGGAAGTGTGTGCATGGTGCTGCATTCCTGGCTTCAGCTGATAAGGAACTGATACAAGGATGGAAATAAATCTCCTTGGAACCAAGGTGTGTCCTCACCATCCATCTCTGCAGCAAACGAAGCTTCCAGCCCGGTTGCTGCCCCAGAGAGGCACGTGTGTGTTAGAGATGGCTCAGAGCTTCACTGAGAACCAAAGGGTTAAAAGCTTACAGTGGTCAGGCTTCAGGCCTTGCTGCCAAGGGTTTCGAATACAGTTTTTTGGGTTTATGGTATTTTGGTAACTTAGGTGCAAAGTGTTTTTTTTAAAGGCTTCTCCTTTGTAAGTTACCCCTGGAAAAGAAATGCAGAAAAATGACATTGCTCCAGAGGCGTAGGCGAGACAGACCTGTGAACATCAACGCTTGACTCATGAATTATTTTGAAGAGTTTGGATGGCCAAAACTCAGCTCTGAAACATAAAATCAACTTGAAACACCTTTGGGTGTTTACCTTTGCTTCAGAGATTACTGGATATTTTTAGCTGCTTAGATCCTGAGCAGTTCAAAAACTGTTCTTCTAGCAGACTGGTTTTACCATCTCTTGGCTTACGCAGAGAGGGCTCTTTCGAAACACAGGGACAGAGATTTCCCTAAAATCCCAGCAAGCCAACCTTACTCGGATCCCACATACAAAGTCTTTTTTTAATCCACTTTTGACTGTCAACACTGCACTGAGGGAAAAAAGCTGCTTTTTTTCCAAAGCACTGCTGTGTCACCGGATTTGTTTAAATATTTTCAGACTGCAGAATCTTACTTTACTTTGTGCCTGAGTTACACGAAGCAGTTTGCTTGGGCGTGCTCTGCCACACGTAACAATACTGAGTCAGTGTGCACACACCAAACTGAACACACTGAGCAACTTTCTGCGGAACTGGGAGACAGATTCTGTCGTTTGAATAGTTGGGCGAGGGGGAGGTGAGGAAACGCGAGCGTGTCATTAACGTGCAGTTAATATTCATGGACATGTTTCCATTACTGCGTACAAATTGGGACTTTTTCTGAAAATGATTGGTATGATAGGTGTGGACAGTTATTCCTTCCAACAAACTTTGACCCAAGAGTAAGGAAAACTTCAGAAGTAATTTTGTACTATTGGTTAAGTTCTTGCTTTTGCTGAAGTCCCACAGTTCTGCACAAGCCTGTGCTGCAGTGTGCAGGGCAGTGCTGAGGAGACACGAGGAGTCACCGTACTGCACTACCCACTTCAGTTGCCTTCAGTGCAGCATACAAGAGGTTTTTAGAATATATGTGGGGGTTTTGCTACTTAGTTTTTAGAATAATAGCCACTGAAAATGAAGAGGAAAAGGAGTCCTCACATAGTGAATAACACAGTGTGTCTTTTTGCAGCTATATTCCGTGCTCCGAGAGAATACATGTGGCAGTGACGGAAATGGCAGCCTTGTTCCCAAAAGTAAGTACCTTTCAGCATTACAATGCTTTTGGCCTCGTCCCTCGTTAGGAGTTTTCCCTTCAGTAAATGAAAACCAAGAGCAGAAGGTAGGGAGAAACGACGAGGTGTTTCTGTCAAATTTTGCATCTTTGTACGTATTAGCATGCCAGTTGGAAAGGGCTAATTTGTGGATCCAGGCCTTTGATTTTAGTCTTGGACTTAAAACTCTAAGAATTACATGCAGTTCCTCCAAAACCGGAGGCTGCTTCCATCTGGCTTGAGTTGAGGAGTTGCGTGTTTCCACGGGAATTCTGCTAGACTCAGGCCACTGCCTAGATTTCCTACTTGCAGGTATGTTTAGCTCTGTTTTCCATCTGCCAAAGCGATCTGTTTCCTCACAGCAGATTTTAGAGAGGGAAATCTGTGACCTAAGCTTTTGTAAAGTCTTGGCTACCTCCATAAACCGCAGGGAACAGCAAATGCTGCTGCGCGTACGTGAACGGGTTGGCTTGTACGCACTGTGCCCTGAAGTCAGCCAGGACACGGGCTGGCTGGCAGTTAATGGGCACTAGAAAATTTGTAGGAGTAACTTCCTAAGTGAGAGCACGAAGCAGTGTTCCCTGCCTGGCAGCAGTTCGAAATGTCCCTGAGATGAGAGGAGAAATTCTGGCAACTTGTTTCACCCACCTCTGCTCCACGTCTCTGCAGGAGCAGTGGCTTGCAATGTCTCCTGCAGCAGAGAGAGGTCCATGCAGAGAGCAGGGCCCTACAGCAGATGTTCCGTATCAAGGAGCACTTGTGAGCCACTACCAGCTCATTAAAAGCCATCCTGAAACGGTTTTGTGGTTCTGTCATGTTTGCCTTCTGTGTTTCTTTCCCAGAAACCCAAATCTGAACTGGTAAGGACTTCTTTGCGGCTGCTGACATCTAGTGCCTACAGACTCCAGTCCGAGTGCAAAAAAACCCTTCCCGTGGAGACGTGCCCCACGACAGACATCCAGCTGGTCACGCAGCAGGTCATCCAGTGCGCCTATGACATCGCCAAGGCCGCTAAACAGCTGGTTACCATCACAACCAAAGAGAACAACAACTGAGGCACAACTTGGCTTTTTACTCTTGTTTTGTAAAGGTTGGATTTCAAATACAGGTGTGGAACTGTTCAGGTTTTTATGAGAAAAACGAAAGGGGCAAGAACTTTTTTTTTTTTTCTTTTTAAAACTCAGTATTATTTTTGCATGTTTTCTAACAATTTTATGATTCATTGAACCCACTGCCTTACTTTGTGCCTGTGTTGCCAGTTTAGTTACAGATACTGCTGAGCCGTTACCACGTGCCAGCGCTGTACCAAGCTCTTGCTAGATGTTTCCCCGGGGCCACGTTCTGCTTTCAGGCACCACTTGCCAAACTCCCGCTGACGCTGGCTGCACGTGTCGGATGGCAGGACCTCAGCCCTGCTCCGTCCGTCCCGGAGCCTCGCGTTCCGCGGCGCCGCCGGCCGAGAAACTCGCCGTGAAACGGGCTCCGGGAAGAAGGTTGTAGCCCGGAGAACAGGGCACAAGCTGAATATCTGTTCCCACATCAAGTGTTGTGCAATAATGATACGTTTTTAGTCTGCTCAGACAACAGTAGTTGTGGGCATCCGAGCTTATCGCGTGTAACTGTACAAGGTCTTTGTCACTTTATCTGTTTTGGAAGGAATTTGAAACTTAGTAGTTTTTTTCTTTTAGTTGTCACTATGCCATTAATATATCTGTTTGATGTTACTTTAGGGCATTAGTGGTTAAAATATTATCCTTTGTTTCTGATTTAATAATTCATTCTTAAGTTTCCTGTAGAATTTTACTGTCATCTTCAAGGCACCGTCTTGTGCGCAGCAGCATTGCTCAGTAACTCAAGATGCAATTTCACTAGAGATTTCTGTGATAATTAAAAACCAAAAACGGAAGTTAGAACTGAGTGCCAGTGCGAAAGCAGCCGTGTCTGCCATAGCATGGAACTTCTGTACCTCGACATATCTAAATGTGAAAAGATTTCTGGTATCTGGTAAGTTTTACGCAAATCTTTCAAAATTTCACAAGCTACATAGGAGTAACCCAAGCTAGGCTCCCTGCTAGAGATGGGTGGGTAACAAACCTCAGTGTGTGTGTTCAGGTTGTTTTCATTCATACCAGTTCACAAAACTGTGTCAGTCCATACTTTCAAAAATGAGAGTTCTTTGGGAATCTAAATTCCGTGGGGCAGAAGGGGAGTCACTAGTGTCCCATTTGGGAGCATGGTGGCATTTCCCAGGAGCCGGTTCAGCTGGTGGCCACTCGAGGTGGTCGTTCAGTGAAGAGTGGGGCTGTGGAACTGCAGCAGCTGTCCTGTGGCAGCAGCTGATGGGAACACATGGACAGTTTTCACGGGAACATGTGTCAGAAACAGCCATCTGCTGCTCCACCAGCAGGTCTGCAGTGTACGGTCTGCCAAACCCACAAACTTTTCAAGGCTTTCTGGTGAAAAACTGCCACGTTTAGGTGAACAAACGACCTAAAGCTCAGTGCTTGGTTCCTTTTCACATCATACTGTGTTTGTGTGTGTATATAAACACAAAGTGCCATCATAACACTGTCAGATTCTTCCATGTTGTAATTAGGTCCCTTTTTAAAGTGGTGCAAGTTTGAGGGAGGTAAGGAACGGAAAGAGTAGGTGACAACCCAGTAAATTCATGTTCTTCATTGTGGGGTTTTTTATTTCGTTTCTGCACTTCTGAATTCCATAACTGTCTCTAAACTCACGGGAATGCAGACAGGCTGGGATTAGAACTGCAAAAGACCTTTGTAAAACCTGCTTCAGAATTATGCTACTGGCAATTAAATACATTGGTAATCTTCTAGGGCCTTTTCCTTAACTTGGCATCATTGAAAGGCAGCGGATGCTGTTTTCACATCTCCCAGGACACCACTGTATGCTTTTCTTTCACATATCCGACCTGATGTCCAGAGCAGGGTAACACTGAGTTATGCTGCAAGTTATCAGTTGTTTAAACTTGCCTCTACCAACATCAACGGATGCTTGGGGAACGGCAAGCCCTCCTTCCAGCTACGCTAGCTCCAGATGTTGTAAAGCTCAGCTGTTGGAAGGCCTAGCTCTAAACCCATGGCTGACCCATAACGGCTTTCCTCTTCTGTCACTTCAGCAGCGTTTCTGGTCAGTAACTCTCCCACCTCCGCGTTGGGTGGAGGCTGGTTATGGCCACGCTGGGCCATCGCACCGGGAGGGTGGTGACCGTGGTGGAAGACGGGCAGTTTTCCGGCGTTCTCAGGAGAACAGGCACGGTCTGAGCACACGCTGGTGGGCTGTGTCAGCTCTTCTCTCCAGCAGGC